ACTACAGTCTGTCCAAGACCCTCATGCAGAACATAAATTTATCTGGTGCACTGAGGCAGATCTACCAAAAGTAAAACAGCTTGTGGTTGTTTAACACTGTATGATAACAGAAGTATACACAAGGATAAAGAAAATGGAGACATCTTTAATTTTGTAATTTTAGCACTAAACTTTGCAAATCAATTAGGTGTGGGGTTCTTTTATGTGTGTGTGTGGTTTTTTTGTTTAACTGCTTTTGGCTAATACATGCCTATTGTTACATTGCATTCCCTCTTCAGGTCCTGAATAAGGACAAATTTATCATGTAGTCTATTAGACAAAAAGATCACCTCTTCCTTTTCCTTAAATAGTACAGTGCTAGCAAAACAAGAGTCGGTTATACTGAGAAGGGAATTTTTATGTAACCAGAATCACTTAGGTTTCTTTTAAGACATACCAGATTGACAGCCTCAGTCATTGCTTAGATGCAGAAGCTCACCATTTAACACATGCTGCAATTCTATCAGCAAACCTCCAGTCAGACAGAATGAGGACAGAGGCAATAATACAATACTGAACTTTTGCCAAAATATCTTGAGAGAGTTTGGGAACAGGAAAAAGCTATAAGAAGCTAAGGAAGCTTTATAACCAATTTCATATTGTCTCCAGTGAATACTATACTTCTGTTTAGAAAATGATAATACAAAAACACCAACAACCTGTACCTGGAAGACTCACACAAAACCTGAACGAGAGCCAAACCTCACGTTGACATCGACATGGATTTTCAAGACAAAAACAGGTTCCAGCTACTACAGCAAAAATAATTGCCAAATCAGATTTTTATTACCAGTTCGTCGTCCTCCTGACTTTTTTGAAATAAAAAACTGCATCAAAACAAGTTTTATTCACTAGGGGATTTGAAGAAGGTGAAGAATTGTTGGAGGATATCCCATCAGAGACAGCAACAATGTTTCATGGTTTAGCTAAGCAGCAACAGGAAGTTTATGTGAGCGCAAATTTGCCCACAGATCAAAACGCTTCAGTGAGCCAGGCAGCCATCATCACTGACAAGCATGGAAGCCTGTTCATGGTTACGACCAGAAAAGGGCTTGGTGTCAAAAGACTGTTCAGCAGTATAATTCAAATAGCTTCACTTGTTCTTTCTCATCTGCTGTCTGGGGCATACTGAAGTCAGATGTATTGCTTTACACAGCTGAGGAAGATTAAAGATGAGTTTTGGTAAAGCATTTCTTTACATTTCTCCTCTGGGGGAATCAGTTGATTATCTACCATTAAGACGACCATAATCTACAAGAATTCTGGTGCAATTATTCTTACACGATTTGAATCAGACCATTTGGTGTTTCTTTTAGTGTCTTGTAGACACTAAAGTGTACAAGAGTACTGTAACAGTATACGCATCAAATCATTCAGATCTGGAGGACAACATTCTTTTTTCTGGAGAAAAAGCAGAATAGACTAAATACGTGATGACGAGACTCCAGGCCTGCATTCATAAACTTACTGTTTTACTGTCACGACAGTCAGAAAATCATTAAATATATGCAAATAATGTTCACAGGTAAATGTGATCTCACTGGCACTTCACCAGATATTTCCCATACAAGACAGTTTCATAGGCCAGGGAAATAATTTATAGGAATGGATGAGCGATGTTCTACTTCTGGCATAAATATTTGGTATATAATTATTTAAGTCTCATTTCTGCATGTATGTTTTAGTAAGATTACACTGAAATTACTGTGGCAGTATTCTTCTATTTCTACTGTGAGATCTCTTACTCTGGGTAAATTTACGGATGAAGCTTAATCTTCAGTCATGAGAAAAAGCCAACTTATTGTTTGGATCTTGAGTACTTTCACAAAAGCACCTCACACAAGTGTGGATGAGCATAACCCAATAATTAATCGTAAATGCTATCTCATTAGTACAGAAAATATTATAATCTTGACTTAACCTGGGGTGTAATCTGTCTTAACTATATTCATAAGAAATGTGACAGAAAAGGGAAGAATCATATTAACAGCGATTTGAATGATGCAAGTCCTAATGCTTGCTTCAGTCCAATGAACAAAACTCATTGGCATTAAACCTAAACCTCATTCTTTTGTCTCCCATTATTTTTTGTGGCAAAATTAAGGTAGGTACATTTATACATTATAATTATCTGTATGATTGCAAAATTAAGCCCATCCGGAGTGATAGCTGTATGTTCCAGGAGGCAAATTCATGCTGCATACAACATTAACAAAGTCCCCTGACTCAATTCCTTAGAACAAAGCTGTCCTTTGTACTTAGAACATAAAAAACAAAAAAAGCCAGCCACCAGTTCTTTAGAGCTATATTTCGTTGCCAGTGTTCAGAGGGCTCCTATGACACTAAATGGAAAAACTTGCCTCATGGCTGCCCTCAGTCTGAAGAATCACATGAATGAAATTTGCACTGCTGAATCCTTTGAGAATCTTTACTTATACTTCCTACACAGAGCTTTCATGGCATCAGAATCAGGCCTTTGATACTGCCATTTTAATAGCAAATGTAAAAACCAATTTACTGGTCTTTTCATTCATTTGAACAGTTACCGCAGTGGGTCACGAGGAAAGCTTAAGCATCGATAGAACCAAATAACTGGAGGGTTGAAATGACTGAATGCATGCAGCCAATTTGAAGACATATATTAGAAAGCAATAACAGAAATATTACACACATGGCTCATGTGAACTGGACTACGTAGTTTCCACTTAGAAGTCATCAGCTTATCTGTCCTGTCTTTTGCAGGAATATGAACTGCATGTCAGATACTTCAAGAAATATTCCAAAGGAAATGCTGACTATATGCACACAACTACTGTGCCATGGCGCATATACCTTTTCACAAGACAACATTTCATATTACACTGTGACCTGCAAGTTAGGAACCTTGAACTGCCTTTATTTCTGAGAACTGTATATAAGATCATAGCAAAGTGGGACAGGAACAATGCAGAACTGCTGATTTGTGAGCTCCTATCAAGCAAAATCTTTTATTCACTGTTTGACTAAATCTGTTAGGATTATACATCTGGAAGTGTATAACAGAAGTGTTAATATCCGGAAAGATGGAGTATTTCAAGCTATTAACCAAGCTGTATTGAAATCCCACTATGAACAATTAAATTTTACATTTAATATGTGTTACGTGGTCAAAGCAAAGCATAGGTGCAGACAAGTCCCTAGTTAGGAAACTTTACAAGCTAAGTAGAACAGAGAAAGGAAAAGAAGGAAAGCATAAATCCCAAAAAAGAGTGACTGTTGAACTTAGTGAACTGACTGCTGCAGGTCACACAACAGGAAGCTACAGAGTGAAGGTCTCCCAACTACAAGTATGTGCAGTTATGTTACTTCTCCCACACCTTTGTTATTTCTTGTTCAATACATAAACTTGCAGAAATTCATATTCAAAATGCACACATTATTAACTTATCAATCTGAAATGCTGAACATTTTTCACATTTCTTTCCTTTCACTTTAGGGACGACTGCACATTACTGTGTCTTTTTAACACACATCTATTTAAAAATACCACGTTTGGATACAAACATGAAATTTTGCAGTCTTTCAGCCACATTTTATTCTAACAAACCTACAGTTACAGAGAATTATATTCTTCAGTATACATTAACACCTTCTACCCACACCAAAGGTTTAGCAGCACTTTCACACCGCTCTTCTTATTTTTCCAGAACCACTAGACTCAAGTCTCAACCTTTTCATTTAAAATTATCAAGTTGCTCTCTACTTTAATTCCCAACACTTTCACTCTACTTCTAAACCAAGATGCACCTAAGGATACAGTCTGTTTCAAAGAGGCACCATGCCTAAGAGGTTGCCTAATTTTGCCTTCTTTAATGTAAATAGGACAAAAGGACAACTTTTTCAGACATGATTATTTTTATTTTTCTCTTGAACACAACAAATTACAACTAGGCTTGGCTCTTCTTACTTGAACTCTCAGAGAACTTCAACAAATGCTAAGCAGTAAAAATCTCAAAATTTCTATGCACCTCTTATTTTAAACTGATTTATAAAAAGATATACTACACTTTCTTGAGGACATTTCTATATATATGGTTCACAGTGCATAAGCACAACATTCAGATAATATCTGGAAATGTGGAAAGGACTTCTTTTTCCTACTGATAGCATACACTTATTTAATTTTACCTGCTTTTACATGACTCAGTTCCAAAATCATTTCTATATCTAAATTGAAACACAGAACACAATAGCTCACATGCATGCCATCACCTACAATAAATTTTGAAGTTTATCTCAGCACAGAAGAACAACTTGAATTGTTGTTCATATTCTAGCATCTGCCTTAGAAGTGTAGCACAGGTCAGAGAAACTTCACAGTAAATGAAGTATAATGGAACTTATACACAATGGAAGGTGATGTCCACCATGAAAAGCTTAAAATGTGATGTAAACTCTAAGATGCAAGTTAAAATAATCAATAAGAAAATAAATAGAGGAAGAATAAGCTTTGCTTTCTTAGCTTCTACTCCACAGACTCTTAACCTCAGGGCCAGAGTTCTCCTGTTTGCCTGAACTTTGACAGTATTAGGGGAAGAAAATGACCGTGACCAATTGCTACATTTGCTGCTTTCTTACAACCAAGTATTGGCAATCTCTCTAAGTTCTACATAAGCATGTTATCTGTGGGACAGGATTCAAAGTGTTTTGGTGTCTGGTGCCATTAGTCTCATGTGCTATATCAACTACTGCTTTTGGCAAAGAGAAGAGCCACTTCTCTTTCTTCTTACACAGAAATCACAGAAATGTGGATTAACAAAGCACAGAGCATGTTTGGTGTCCTTGCCATAAGCACAAAGCTAAGCACGTTGGCAAGGCAGCCACTGAGCACTGCTTTGAGTAGTTAGCACATGGAAGATTTCTCTCACATTCACAGGGAATTGCTTTTAGAGGAATACAGTTCTTGAAAGCAGACTAGCAATTACTCGCTGCCTCTTCTCAGAATTAAGACCAATGCCCTCATTTCACCAGAAACACTCATGCACACATATCCCACACTGAAAGGAAATGTATAGAAAGCAGCATTCTTACCTGTACCTGAATTAAGGGGTCACTGATACCAGGAGAAAAGTTGCTCCTAGATGTATATACTCTCTTCCCAAAGCTCTTCTGTAGTGTTCAGGGATGGGGATTGCAAACTGATGGCATGAACTTCTCTCTTGCGAAGACTCTCCCATTTGACAACTGAAACACAGGACATGAATGTAAAAGAGGGAGCCAGGATATGTCCTTCATTTTCTTGAACTTCATGCAACACTTATGCTTGGCCCTGTCAAGCCCAGGAGCAACCAAATTTGCATTAGCAACTTCCTGGTGTTTCCATACAATCTGGGTGTCCTGCTGCTTTCTTACCTACAGCAGATGCTGTTGTTGCCTTAGGGCTCCAGACTATGCCACACTCAACCTACTTGTTTGAAAACATCGACATTGTTATCACTTCAAGCAGGATAAGGGAGGATACGAACAAAAAACAGGCTTGCATCAGTGCTTTGGAAGATTAAGGATTCAGCTGGGGTGACTGCCAGAAAGAAATGAAGGGGAGGAAAAGAAACTGTCAGGACAGGTTTGACTTGAAAAGGGAGGCGAAAATTGCAAAGAGCCGACAAGTAGAGGTACACAGCAACAAGAAGCTGCATACATACACCATTCGGTCCTTCACATAAGCTAAGAAGCACTTCAGGGTGCAATGCTGACAACTAAAACGTTCAGACCCTTCTGCTGGTGTGTCAGAGATACTCTAGCAGCCTCAAAATAAAGTTTATCATTCCGGACTACTTTTATTCTATTTCCAACATCAACTTTTATTAAAAATACAGGATACAATTTTTCAAGATTTTTGTCATTTGCCAAGAAAAATCAATGGACAGACAGTACTTAGAGCCTCACAGAATCTACTGATCTACTGTGGTAATTGAGCCCTCCTTACTTAATTAAAAGCTGAGACTTTTTAACTAAAATCTGCCGATTAATAGTATTTTGTTATAGCTCTGAACTAACCAGAAATGCATCTGCTTTCACACTAACTTGGACAAAGACCATACGCACACGAGACAGTTGTTTACAAACAGAGGGCAGCATTGCTGTGCCTGGCTGGTGGTTACTACCAATAATACCATTCAGCTGAAGAAAGATAGAACTTACCCTTACACAAAAGAGTAGTCAAGTGTTGGGAAATGCTAAGGTATGCAAAAGCCGTCTATGAACTCATCTTTTATGCAATTGAGCAGTTTGATATTTTGACCCTGAGTTTGTGTATCATGTTAACTCACTTCCCTTTACCGCCTCCAGAAAACAAAGCCTCTATAAACTTGATCAAGTGAAGGTCAAAAAATACTCACTTTTCCACAACTTGGCCATGTGGTGATGTGAATGAACAAAGAGCAGAGTTCTGCTGTAACAGCAGCTGCTGAATGGAGAAAGGTCTGGAGACTAAGTACAGCTGTTAACTTGGAGAATCTGGCATGAAGCCCTTCCCTTACATAAAAATCTAGCAAACATGAGGTGCAATACTTGAAAGATAATCAGTAATTGCAGAATACACATCCCACAGTGTCCAATGGTCACTCCAGTGTGTAGTCTCATTGTATTTAGAGAGGCTGTTTAACAGATACGTGAACATACCTGTTTCTGAGTGAACCTATTAATTGGATCATCACTTGCTTTATCAAGAAAACTTAAAAACGAGGACCTAACCTCTTGTGTCATTCTTTAAGCTTTAGATCTCTGTAGCCAGTAATAACATGGTGAGGAATAATACTACAACAACTGTCAGTATAATTCAGTTAAATGTAAAGGGAAAAGAAAATTATCTGGATAGCATTATCTAGGACTGAAGATTGATATTTGAAATGATAATACTGGCTAGGAGATAGCACGTAATCACTAGTTAAGATAAGCTCATAATAAAGCACATGAACTGTTTTCTCTGGAGATGACTATTAACCTTACAATACACATATATATATTTTAAATCCTTATTGGTACTATGAAGTTCACCACGCAGAAGCAGAACTAATGTTAGGCAAGCAGGAAGGATGCAGAATATTAAGCTCTACAATAATACAAAGATTGTTACTTTTTTGTTTTGATCAAAAGATGATGGCAAAAAAAATCATATGGAAAAGAAAGAAAAGAAACATAACTCATTTTGTATCTGCATAGTGACTGCCAAAAGTGTTGAAACAATGTAGCAACAAACACTTCTTTTTCTCCATTATGAAAGATTTCTGGCTAAGCACACCAGCATTTTTGCTAGAATCCTGTCTTGCAGGTTCACTCTACATATTCCTGTTTTATGAAAGGAAGTTAAGCAAATAAACTGCCCATCACAATAGTTCTCCCTCAGTTTAAAATACCCTTCAAGCTACAGAAAATAGACTCTACAAGGCCAAAATATTAGCTACATCACATGAAGCTTATCTAACATTAAAAACCCATAACTAATTTTAGGCAGATCTTTCACATTGTTTGGGAATGTCTATTCTTGAGATGTTGTCTGCAGAAATGGGGACTGCGGGAAATGTTCATGTCAAGGTTAAATGGTTGTTCTATTTTTATGTTTGTCCAAATCTGTCTGCAGATACTGTCCCGCTGGACACAGAAGCTGCTCATCTGCAACAGTTATTCTGCTTACCCTTAACCTATATTTCAAACTTGAAGCCTGTGTTGTCTTTCATTGTTGACATTTAAGATGGTAACTTTGTAAACCACAGCTAAGCTAGTCTACACAACACAAAAGCACTACAGAATCCTGCTTTTGCAAATGTATGACAATTTCCTAATGTGATACTGCATATGTGTTTGTACTTCTGCCTGTGTATGTGTCTATGTACACTGTACTTTGTATTTATTCAGTTTTAACAGGTAATACCCTACCAAACTTGTGTGCTTGCATAGCTACTGAAAGCAGACTATCAGTAAATTCAGTAGATGATTTACAGAAGAGATGGCTTTAGACTTGAACACTGGATGGCCACAATACAGTACTGTCAGTAACACGTTACAGTCACTCTGTCCTACATTAAAGTTACATGCTGAGATAGGAAAAAACACATCCAAAACCTACCAGGCCTGCTCCTGAACTCACTCGATGGTACAGTGGCCAGCAAAGGGTATCATTCACAGAACAATTATTTTCAAGGTCTTTTTTCCCCAGTTTTAATCTAGCAAGAGAGAAGCCTGCAGAGTCCCAAAGCAACACTACAGTTCAGCATGGTACACATAACTATCTCAAGAAACTTTTTAAGATAAGATATTCAGGAGCCATCTGTGAGAGAAATGAATATAGCTATAAGCTGGGCAAGACAGAATTAATTTGCACAACTGGGCCTTCACGTTTTGAATCTGCACTTCACACCATGCACGCATCTTTAACACTCAAAAAGATTACACAACCAAAATCATTCAGCAACACAAAGGATCAGTTTCCAAATGACTGAAAATCTCAAGTGGCTTTATTAGTTTCTTGGCCAGGATACTGCCCCTAAGCAAGTGCCAGCAAAGCTCCTCTTACATAATCACAGAGGGAGTCTCTGACTCTCAGCTAGACAGCTAAGTCCATGATTAGGCCCCTAAACTATAGGTTGCACCAAACTCTACTTACTTCACAGTAATAATGAGACTGAGGAACTCTTACCCTTTAGCCAGAGGCTTCTTTTCGCAGGGATTTCAGACTGGTTGAATATATTCAATTTCCAATGGAAGATAAAAATGTGGAAATTTGCTTTCACTTTTCAGGTCAGAAAACAAACGAAGAGCAAGAAGAGAGCACAAGCAACTAATTTATTAAGAAGAGACCACAAAAGTTTAATCACAGAGACTAGAAATCCTGTTTGACTATGACCCTGTAAAGTAGGTCACAGTGGTATGTAGCCAAATGGCAATCGAGAAAAATAAGAAACCATTACAAACCCAGAGATGCTGACAGCCATTGTAAGGACAACACAGTAACACAAGAACTCCTTTGCTTAGATCTGCATGATAAATCTGTACTCTGCATTAAGACAGTAGGAATAAAACCTTGTATTGTAGAATTTGGAATATTACAAAAGCCGAAAGCATCAAATTTGAGCTTAGCTAGACCATCAGAAGTAGTTTTCCCCATGTTCTTAAAAACTACCACGGGGATTTTTAAAAGACTATATTGTGGTTCAGTCCTCACTTTTGCATTTCAATACCCTCCAGACTTTGGGCTGATTTTCCACATAGGCCTTCAATTCAAACTTTGAACTGTCACAACAGCAAATAGCTTATGACAGCAACAACGTGATATATAGTTTCTTCAGAGCCAGACTGTTCTTATTTCAATTCCATTCCTTAAGGGAATTCATTGACTGCAATGGAAAAGTAAATATGCAAAAGCTTCAAGCTCTTGCTAGTCTGTCAGCTGCATTCTGTTCTATTTTGACCCATTCATATCACCATCAGTATGCTGCAGCAAAGAGAAGCAGAAATACCGGAAGGACTACCTATTAAAAAGCAAGTATACGTTGTATTAATGTGTTCTAAAGCATCACTGCTTCTATCATCTCCTGATTTCCACAATTATGTCATCCTAGATAATCTGGATCTGAAGGGAGAAAGATCATACATTACATAAAAAAAAAAATGCGGACATACATACTTCATCTTTGGGGGCTTATTGTTGAAGCTATTACTCTAGATATCTCCAAACAAATAAAGCTTATATCTCAGTCTTCCAGTAAAAGCATGAAAAAGAGAATTATACAGGCAGTAACTAAATAAAAAACATGAACTGCAGAAGATTTACAGATGAAGAACAGTGCTGCTTTGCAAATATTACAGCTTTGGAATCAATGGACCTGGTTATAGTCACTCACTAATTTCCTTCTAACTTAGCCATCTGCTCCCACAGATCTCTTCCATTTACAAAAGCTGATAAGGACGTGGTGTCTCAGCTGTAATTCTAGAAAGTATCAAAAAAATTCCTGGAAATACGGAGTACAAATGTTTCTCATCAGATGAGTGAAAGAAGTATGCAGTATTTTAATTAGCAAAAAAATGTGAACCGCAGGAATATGTACAGAATAGATTAAAAACAATTCCTGGGGCTTGAACACTCAACAGCAAAAGTCAGTGACAGATTTTGTTGTGTTTCAGATTAGAAAGGTGTGCCAAGGCTTGCTGGCTTTCTGTAAAAAAAAAAAAAAAAAAAAAAAGTATAA